GTTTGATATATGGACCTGCAGCGGAGTTTAGGCCCAGACACGGCTAGTGACGTCACACTGAACGATCGGATTGTGTAAATTATATAAATGAAATAAAAGACCCACTCTCTTGGTTTTTGTTCCCCCAGAACCAACCATAAGTATTGTGCCGGCAAGTGGTGCTGCAGTGGTTCCCAGTTACCCTCAGAACCCATACGACCTCCCCAGGAACAGCCACATCCCGAGCCACTACGACCTGCTGCCAATGCGCCCCAGCCCCTCCCACAGCCACAGCCTCACCCTGAACAGCTGCAGTCCCCCACTGCCCGGCAGCCCCACCAGTTCCCTGCTCTAGGGCCCCCCAACAGGATCCAGTGCACTCAGAACTAAGAAACTGAAGTATGAAAGTAGAAAGTGTTTTGACACTGATGAGTAAATACAGGTTGATATTTAAAGGATGGAGAAAATGTGTTGCTGGGACTAATACTTACTTATTTATTTTCTAAGTAGCATTTTATTTGTTTGTTTTGTTTGTTTTTCTTTTTGTTTTGCAGTGTCCAGACTGCTAGATGGCTGTTTGACATTTTACTATGATATACCAACCAACCAGTCTGAGCTGTTTTGTGTCAGTCACCAGTACATCTTTATATTCTTATTTTCACACCAAAATTGCCAGCAGCGGGGTAATACAAGTACATATACACATAAATATACTCGTTTCAGCGGTTTTTGAGACATCTCGACTCAGAAGATGAATGTCAAAAAAGAAACTGACTTGCTCACGTAAAGACTGCAATGGCTGTGCCAAAGAAAGGACTGAGGCCCACTGTACATCTGCAAAGACTACTTTATTTACTAGCATGTTAGGTCCAAATGAACATCATGTGGGCATTACGGTTGTGCTGTGGGAAAGAAATCCAATGGACTCCTCCGAAGAAAAGGCTCTCTATCCTTTTATTTCCCCAGAAAAAAGGACTGAGAAAAGGACAGAAAAAAAGATAACTGGAGTATCTTCAGACTTACAGCACCTGTATAGTATTTTATACACACTGTTTCTTATTTCGTGTTTACATATTTAAAGATCCTGCTGGGGTTCATGTTTTTGCTCAGAAACGTTATTTTTTGTATGTACTGTAGACAAAGTGGTGTATTTGATGTACACTTACTGTACACCTCGTGATTATAGTTGTAATTTTTTTTCTTTATGTTGAGCTTATTATACATGCATGTAAAAAGGTGATTCAGGGCATAATGGTTAGTGAGGAATACCCTTATTCTTTGGCTTTATTGTGATCATGGTCAGATGGCTAAGCTCTTTTGCTGATAATTGCCATGCTACTGTGGACATGCCATTTGGAACATACTTCTTGGAAATATAAATATATTTTAGGTTGGAAGTTGTGGTTACAACAGTTCTGTAGGAAACTTCCCCCTTCCCTGATTTTATTGTAGAGTCGCTAGAGTTTTGTTACTAAACACAATTAAATGTGTTTTCATGTAGCTCTGACAAAAATGTGTTATGCAACGTAGCAGTAACTTTAAAATGATAGACATACAATCACTTTAAGTATTCAGACTGCTCTCCTTTTTTACAGATTATAGATTTACATTATAATTGATGAAATGATAGATTTTCAGTTATATTTATTCATCACCTAATGCTTAGAAATGTTTGAATGAGTTCAACTAATGTTATTTTAACCCAACCAGTTAACTAAAACAAGCTGAAGACTTAAACCAGGCTTTTAACCGGCTGAAACTCATGAAGACCAACTGCTTACACAAAGGAATGAATTAAGGATTCACAAATACATTTTTATTTTGTCTTACAAATACATTGTTTCATCATAAATTTGCATTTACAAAGTGCGCAAAAGTAAAAGGGTCTGAAGCAACTAAAGTTCGGCTGTAGCAAACAGCAATAAGAGGACATGTTGACAATCTTATGTGTACAGTTTGCTATCCCAATGATTTGGTTTCCTGTTTTTGTTCTATTTGCTCTGATTTATCTTGTTTTTTTAGTGGTTTGATATGTTTGATCCAAACAATAGTTCATGTGTATAGGTGTATGTAGTGCTGCTTACATTTTTGGGGGGGAGGGTGTGTGTTTGTTTTTTTGTTTTTGAAAACCCTGAAATGAATAAAGTCATGACAGCTCAGGAGAGTGGTGTCATATGTTGATTTTAAAAAACAAACAAACTCTGTTTTCACCTTTCATCCAGAGATATAAAGCTGCAGTCATGTGGTGGAATGTTTCTATTTTTAATGTTTAATGTTTAACCAGAAGTTTGGGAGTCCTCCTTTTCCTGTAAAAATGATTCCGTTTCCTAATCA